GGTCCCAGGTTCAATCCCTGGCATCTCCAGGTAGAGCTAGGAAGGAATCCTGTCTGAAACTGGAGAGCAAAAGTTGTCAGTCAAAGTTGACATTACTGGGCTAGATCACTAGACTAGGCTGATTCTGTACAGGTTGAGCTTCCCTTATCCAGAATTCCAAAATCTGAAATACTCCAATATGAAATATAAAATAATTTTAGGTTTAGACTTGGGTTCCCTCTCCAAGATCTCTCATTATGTACATGTATATAAATACAGATATTCCAAAATCCCAAAAAAATCCAAAATCCCAAACATTTCAGGTCCCAAGCAGTTTGGATAAGGGAGAGTCAACCTGTATAAGGGCAGCTTTTTAGGGTTGCAGCGGCACTTCAGAAATAATGCTGTTTGACAACACTTTTGCTGCCATGGTTCAATGCTATAGAATCCTGGGATTTGTATGTGCTGGGATTTATATTTCAGGGATATTTACACCAGTTATTATATGCCATGGTTCAATGCTGTAGAATCCTGGGATTTGTATCCTGGGATTTATATGTCAGGGATATTTACACCAGTGAAGAAATCCAGGACATCAATTCTGGAAGCCAGGTGGAGAGCATCTGGATAAAAATGAAAGAGGAGGGAAACAACAGGAAAGTTATTGTGGGAGTCTCCTACAGACCCCCAACTCAGGGAGAGGAATTAGATGGTGCCTTTCTAGGACAGATGACCACACAGTCAGAAAGGAGAAATATAGTAGTAATGGGTGACTTCAACTATCCTGATATTTGCTGGAATTCAAACTCAGCAAAATCCTCAAGGTCTAGCAAATTCCTCACTTGCCTTGAAGACATTTTCATTGTCCAAAAGGTGGAAGAGGCAACAAGGGAATCAGCTATTTTGGATCTGATCCTAACTAACAGGGAAGACCTAGTTAATGGGGTGCAAGTGGTTGGATCCTTAGGCGGGAGTGATCATGTCCTCCTGGAGTTTATTATACAGTGGAAAGGAGAAGCCAGGCATAGTCAGACATGAATTCTAGACTTTAGGAAAGCTGATTTTACTAAACTTAGAGAAATACTGGGGGTGATCCCATGGACAGGAATACTAAAAGAGAAGGGAGTTCAAGAAGGATGGGAGTTTCTCAAAAGGGAGATACTGAAGGCACAATTTCAAACAGTTCTAATGAGGAAGAAAAATGGGAGGTGCCTCAAGAACTAAGTTTTAAACGAAACATGTACAAGAAATGGAAAAATGGGGAAATCACCA